AGATCTGTGCTTTTGGCGCCTATTGCTCGCTCTCTGTGCAATCGCAACGCCAGAGGCCGTGCTTGGAGAGTGTGTCGCAGTGCTGCTACGTCAGTGGATTGAGCCGCGACGCAGGCTCCATCGGTGAGCTGCGGCGGCGCACCGGCCGCTCCATGCATGCTCTCCGGCGAGCCGTCGCAAACGCGTTTCCGTCCGCCCGTTTCATCGAGTTTGCCCGAGTGGTAAAATGCAATCGAATCTGCCCGAGTGGTCAAGTAAAACTTTGCCTTTCGTAAAAGTTGCCCGAATGGTCTGTGGGGAAAAAACGAAAATCGAGACGGACTTCTTGAACGGCCGGGCAATATGTCTTCCTTACTATTGATAATTGATGCTTTTTGCACGGCTGAGCCCCCCCCCCTCCCTCCCCCGCGCCCATTCCCTGCCCTCTCCCGCCTCACACTCCGTCAGAGCCCCCTCCCCTCTTGCACAACAGGAATTTTGACAATTAACCAGATGGTGAGGAACATTGATGGGCTTGCCCATCCCGGAGTGGTTCGACTCCACACAAATCCGAGACGGTGATGGGTGCGTCGTACGATGGTCTCAGGCCCAGTGAGGTAGTGCATCTGACTATCCCGGATCCTGCTGAACAAGCTCCTCTTGTAGCTCGATCGGTCACACCGCCATCGCCGTCGGGGAGAGGGGGGACGACACTGCTTTGGCAGCGTGCACCTCGATCCTGTACCGTGTTTGTTATGACCCCCCCCAATGAACACACCAGTGAGGGAGGGCGAGACGATCGAGGGGTCCCGTACCATGCGGAACCGACCCTATCCAGTGCTCAAGTGCTCAAGGTATGAGGAACACCAGACATCCGAGAGAGTACGTACGACATCCGCGGACTGGGTCTAAATTCATAGAGTGCTTTGGAGCTCGCGCCGCGCCGGCGCTCGCTGCCTCGCACAGCAATGTTCGTCCTCCTCCTGGCACCGCCGTTGATGAGCGCGAGCGCGCCGTTTGCACTGCCGACCGCTCCACCGGCATCTGTCGACGCCTCGGATTCAATGTGGGACAGTCGACCCTTCGTGGATGGCCGTAAAACTTGTATTGGCGGCGCGGTGGAGGCGTGGAGCGGGCCCAGCGAGGAGGTGACATCGCCCGTGTTTGACGCGAGGACCGGAAAGCGCCTCGTCATTGGCCAGCTCGCGACGATGGGCGAGGTGGACGCCGTGCGTGCGGTAGAGGCGAGCGCGGCGGCGTGGGACCGCGGGCAAGGCGCCTGGCCGCAGATGTCGCTGGCAGAGCGTATCGAGCGCGTGGAGGGGGCGGTGGCGGCTTTGAAGGAGCGACGCGACGAGATTGTCAACGTGCTCATGTGGGAGATTGCAAAGAACAGCGCCGACGCGGCGGCTGAGTTTGATCGGACGGTGGCCTTCATTGGCAAAACGATCGAGACGCTGCGTCGGCTGGACGAGGAAAGTGCTGGGTGGCGGGTCGTGTCGGGCGTG